AATGTGTCCCATGGACACAGATGATGCCCCCGCTTGCATATCATATAGTTATAAAGGGACATAACTAAAGAAAGGTAAAAGTGACACTACCCAAATTTGTACTTAATCTGAGTTTTGTGGTAATGAAAGAACCTTAGTGAGCGCGCTCACATACCCCACGTCCCCACATTGTCATTGGAGAAATAAAATAAGTGTAAGAAAAAAAAAAAAATTGTATCAGAAAAAAAAAATTGAATCATAATTTCCTGTCAATATGCACATCTACATAGTATGTCCTTATTATCTACACAGTTTCATGAAATTCTGTTGTGTGGTTTGAAAGGAGTTGCGATGACAAAAGGTTGCAGTAGTATATTGGGCAAATAAGTTCAAAGGGGCGTAACTCCTGGAAAAAAAATTGAATCGTAATTTCCTGTCAATATGCACATCTACGTAGTATGTCCTTATTATCTGAAAAGGTTTCATGAAATTCTGTTGTGTGGTTTGAGAGGAGTTGTGATGACAAAAGGTTGCAGTAGTATATTGGGCAAATAAGTTCAAAGGGGCGTAACTCCTGGAAAAAAAATTGAATCTTAATTTCCTGTCGATATGCACATCTACGTAGTATGTCCTTATTATCTGAAAAGGTTTCATGAAATTCTGTAGTGTGGTTTGAGAGGAGTTCGATAACAAACTGTTGCAGTAGTACATTAAAGTAAATAAGTTCAAAGGGGCCTAACTCTTAGAAAAAGAATTGAATCCTAATTTCCTGTCGATATGCACAACTACATAGTATGTCCTTTCGTGAAATTCTGTTGTGTGGTTTGAGAGGAGTTGCAATGACAAGAAACAGGACTGACGGACTAACGGACGGACAGACGAGTCAAAAACATTATACCCTCCGCAACTCGTTGCGTGGGGTATAGTAAGCATTGTGTATAAGTTTCATAACATTTGGTTAACCCTTTCACCGATGAGTCCCGGATGAAAGTGTAAACATGGCGCTTCCGTTTGTTGAAAACCGTGTCAAAATCAGAGGAAATTTACGGAATTTACGAGAATTTAAAATGAGGGAACATTTTTTTTTGAAAGAATATGGAAGAATTGAAGCCAAACTAGTATACTTTTTTGACATAAAATGTTGTTTTATGTACAAAACACTTGGAATGGACATCGTTCAGTGTAAGGAATTTGTACAGCCTCATTAAATTTTTCAAAATTTTGCTGTTTTGGGTTAAAAAAATTACGATTTTGGGTCAAAAAGTAGAATTTTGAGAATTTCACCTAGATAATGCCGAAAATTTGAAAATCTGAATATTTTATGAAGAAAAATTATCAAAACATGAACAAAACTGTGAACATGGTGTTAGTGAATGAAATAAAGACACAAATAACTACAGACAAGTTTTTATTGACATTTATTATGAAGATCTCCCACTTGAGTAATAGTAGCCAGGGAAGCCATCGTCTCAGAGTAGCTTCTGTCTGGGCAGCTATCGGTGAAAGGGTTAAGGCAAACTTAAGTTAGAGAACAGAAACAAAAAAATTCAGCAATTTTTTCGTTTGTAAAGGGGCATAACTCTATTACGGTTAATGTGACACCACCAAAATTCAAACTTGATCTGTGTTTTGTGGTAATACGAATTGTGTATAAGTTTCATAACATTTGGTTGAGGCAAACTAAAGTTTGAGAACGGAAACCAACTTTGGGACGTAGGGACATATGTACGGACAAGGGTAAAACTTAATGCCCCCTATGCTACGACAGGGGCATAAAAATGTGTCTCTAGAGGGCATAACACCAGGATATAAGGGATACCACCAACACATCAAAATTAACATGCAATATTTGTTTTACATAGACATTTTTTTTAAATTTTATCCCCTACCAACATAACAATTATTCAATGGCATTCTGCCTCCTAGTGACACTTTTTTATGGAATAGTCCATAGTACATGTAGTAGATGTCTGACGAATCCCTCAAGCATAACCAAAGATGGACATGCTAACCAACAAGGTGACTCATAACCTAAAATGGACATGCCAACCATCAAGGTGATTCGTAACCAAAGATGGACATGCCAACCATCAAGGTGATTCATATCCAAAGATGGACATGCCAACCAACAAGGTGACTCATATCTAAAGATGGACATGCCAACCATAAAGGTGATTCATAACCAAAGATGGACATGCCAACCATCAAGGTGATTCATATCCAAAGATGGACATGCCAACCAACAAGGTGACTCATATCCAAAGATGGACATGCCAACCATCAAGGTGATTCATAACCAAAGATGGACATGCCAACCATCAAGGTGATTCATAACCAAAGATGGACATGTCAACCATCAAGGTGATTCATAACCAAAGATGGACATGCCAACCAACAAGGTGATTCACAACCAAAGATGAACATGCCAACCATCAATGTGATTCATAACCAAAGATGGACATGGGAACCATCAAGGTGGTTCATAACCAAAGATGGACATGCCAACCAACAAGCTGCTTCATAACCAAGATAGACAAGTGAACCATCAAGGTGATTCATAACCAAAGATGGACATGCGAACCATCAAGGTGATTCATAACCAATGATGGACATGCGAACCATCAAGGTTATTCATAACCAAAGATAGACATGCGAACAATCAAGGTGATTCATAACCAAAGATGGACGTGCGAACAATCAAGGTGATTCATAACCCATAGAATTGTTTGCAGGGGGTATAAAGATTCACTGTTTAAACAAGAATGTGTCCATATTAAATGGATGCCCCACTCACACTATCATTTTCTATATTCAGTGGACCGTGAAGTTGATGTCAAAACTCTAATTTGGCATTAAAATTAAAAAGATCATATATATATCATAGGGAACATGTGTACTAAGTTTCAAGTTGATTGGACTTCAACTTCATCAAAAACTACCTTGACTAAAAAAACTTTAACCTGAAGCGGGACAGACGGAAATCGAACAGACCGAAAAACATAATGCCCCTCTAGCTATATTAGGTGGGGCATAAAATAGAATATTCAACACCAGTAAAGGTTAACTTAATAAGTTTCTGTTTGCATCCACTGTACGACACGCAGCAGTTAAGGACTGTTCTAAAATTTAACTCATGGTAAGGACAAGGTAGGCACATTTTTAGAGTAAATAAGACTATAATATAAAATGTTCATTTTACTTATAATTCTTACAAAATTCTAAGGTAAATACAACCAAACACATTTAATTAACATCCCCCCCCTCCTCCTCCCTCAACAATTAATTTTGGAACAGCTCTAACAACATGCTCACAAACAAATAGAAATAGAAAGGCGTAGCTTGTAACTTCAAGTAACCTATAAATATAACATGCAACTCATTTATGTCATAATTCAAAGACCACACATGTACATGTACACTCTTTGGAATTATTTTGATCTCAAAAGCTTTAAATATAGATTGGAATATGGCCACACAGCCAAAGTGGCAACATGTTTTGTACTCAAAAGTCTTGAACAAAAGGTTGACATTATTCCTGTAACAAAGTTAATCAAACAAGGGCACACGTGTCATCAATAGTTTACAAGTCAGGTAAACGAAAATTAGAATTTAAAAAAGTTTTACTGAATGAAAATCTCCAATAATTTGATTAAATACCTTTCCTAAGCTATTGTTTAAGATATTGATAGTGTCAAGAATTCAGAACAGTTATGTTGGTTACAGTTCTCAGGTTCAACTTGAAAATCAACATGCCTAAAGCCAGAGTTCTATAAATCATTTTATCAATGGTGGTCCTTGGAGAAAATCTGATGGTCCTCACTATCATTTCTATTGCAAAATACCAAAATAGTTTTGGTCCTTTGCAAAATGTTGGTGGTCAAAAACTTTGGACTATCACTTTTCAAGATCTCTGTTGAAGCTCAATTCTACGAAAATTCAAGTCATATTGTATAGATGATTAATTAAGCTATTTTACAAGCCTCAGCTGGTTGGACTGTGATTAAGCCTGAAGACTGGTTACAATGCAGAATCATGGTTTTATTACATCACAAACATAGGAATCATTCATTGTTTCTCATTAATAAATACTAAGGCTTGTAAAATTTCTACTACAGACCGAAAGAAACTATACAAAATTTTCCAAAAAATTAGTGTCAAGCTATGACTGCCAAAGTTTATCATGAAGACATGACAGTCATTTGATGTACATGTATCAAGCAAAATACTTGACATTTAATGCACATTTAAGAAAACAAACTCTCAGCTCAAAGGAGTTACCTATACATGTATCAATATTGGTAATTAAAAAAAACAAGAAAAAAAACGCACTTTAAATTTTCAGGTGTTCAAATTTGCTTTAAATAATTATTAAAGGTCCTGGAGCATTCAAATTCAAGTGAAAGCAAAAAAGTGCTATATAAAGCGTTAATATAAAGAACAGAAGGTCCTTAACTTAGAAAATCAATAATAAGAGTCCTCTCCCAGAACTGACAGGTTACAACCTTTGGCCCACTCAAATTTGGCCTTTTGCTTTCATTCTCCTTAACATTTGCTTGCTGGTCTTGCCTCTTGATGTTTGAAATATCCAATTTCCACTACAGTTTCCTATTTTTATACTTGTATTAGGGTTTTACAAAGCTAATGCTATTGTCTTTAGCAAGAATTCAGGATGATTTATGTTAATTGGTGGAGATATTCAATTAACAGTTATATGCAAGAAATTGTAGTTTTCACGCTTAGCCAAACCCACCAACATAACCAACCCAGGCCTGTAAACTTTTTTTTACAATTGGTCAATATTATCCATACAAAATTTTCCAAAAAAAAATGTGTATTAGGTCTCTGGCTGCAAGAGTTTACTGTAAAGACTTTAAATATATATGTCAAAATGAAATTTGAATATTACAGTTTCTTTTTTATTACAAGTCATGTCTTCTAAGCTAATTTTTTTCCCCATAAATGTTATATACAAGGTAACATTTTTTAATAGAAGCTTGGATATTTAAAAGCTTTGTACTTACCGTGTGTGATTAATTCCACTGTACGTCCCGTAAGTAACGGGGGAATACCTTGGTTGACCAGTCCTGTAATATATCATATAAACCCTATATCAACACACTGCAAAAACTTCCAATACTATTCTGACTTTTTATTTATACCTCAGAGGGGTTCAATCAAGGGTTCTATTGACTGTAACACTGTAAATGAGGAACAAATGGAGGGAATTCAATAAAAGTTCATGAAGTTTGAAAAGATAAGAAGATTAGTTGAATTTGTTTACCTGTCATTACCTGTACAAGGGTTTGATTGACCTTTAAGACTTTCTTAATGGCTGCTTTTTAACTGGTCCTTGTTCTTTTGGTCTCAAGTGGAGAGATGTCTCAATGGCAGTCATATCACATCTCCTTATATATATATATATACTCTCATAAGTATACACAAAAGTACATATAAAATTTCTATATTCCTTATTGATTATAACAACTCAACATTGACAAAACAATCGTTTAGGCCAAAAATAAAATTAGAATTGTTTGATCTTAAAATTGAAAATGGAAATGGGGAATGTGTCAAAGAGACAACAACCTGACCATACCTTGCCTACCTACCAACCTCAAAATTTTTTGAAGAGTTTTTTCCTGCTTTAACTTCCTTTTCGTGTCTTTAACATGTACTGCTAACTTATGTTGTTAGCCAAAAAAAAAAAAATTCCCTACCTACCTACCCAACCCTACAAGGCATGGGTAGGCAACATCAAACAAAGAATTTGTTAAGTGTGGCCCTAACACATATGGGGAAAAGGGGGGGGGGGGGGGGGGCATGGGAGGCACCTTATTTAAGACCAAAGGAAAATGCAATCATTAAACACAACTGTGCTAAAATTAACTTGCTTATAAGCTTGAATAGACCGTGTATTTTCATTTTACTGACTTTTGACCATGGAGTTTATAGTTTTATGACATGTTACCTTCTCTGTGGTAGGACATTTTGGTACTAGATCAAGTAAGAGCAAGTTTAACCAAGCTTTTACTCCGTGCAATTTGATGGAAGGGGGTCATTAGCTGTTTTACGTTTTCTATACATAACAAAATCATCGGTAAATAGTTCATTTCTCCAAATTGCACAGTTTGCAATTATATACTCCAGAGTCAAAAGTGGGTAATATGAAAATAAGTCTATTGTACATTTATTGAAGGAATGCCACAACACAACAATGTATCAATTGTATGTGACCTGCTGTTTTCAATAGGATATAAGTATATATAGGTGAATACAAATGATTTGATTAGAATAAGTAGTTATATATACTATATATAGGTAAATACAGGTATTAGATAACCTTATAACCCTAATCAAACTAGAATTACATAGTAATCATTACACATGATAACAGATACATAAAAACTAACACAAACTGATAGCGTCTGGTTTCCTGGGAGGGTAATCTCCCTTGAATCAATTGGAAAGTTCTGCTTTATCTCTCCACATGTGATAAGTGAAATGACGTTTAATTTTAACTGTTACCTAGAAGCTAGTACTACAATGAGTGGCCGTGATTGTAGTCGGGAAAGACTGGCAGCCAATCCGCAACCAGATAGGGCATGAAAATAAATGGTAAAATAAACCTACTGGAAATCTATGGTCTTGCGTCAAAATCTCCCGTGTTAAGATAGGCTATAGAAACACATTGATTTATCTTACATTAATTGCTTCAAGTTTAGACAACTTTTTAGTTTAATTTAAGAAATTCTTGAGTAAGCAATTTAGGCTTCAACATATTTTTAAAACTTTTTTTTGATGGGTCAAAGACTCAAATGGCAGAGTTGGATTATTTTATAATTAGGAGTCATTTAAATGGTAGTGACACTTTTATTTAATATACTTTAAGGAACATATTTTGGAATGCTATTTATATAATTAAAATGAAAGAAAAGATGATATCATAATCTTTTGATTTCTACAAATAAGCAAATCTCATTCATGTCATTGATATGTTTTGTCAGCCTCGATATATAATCAATGCAGTTAGGGAAATCTTTGCCTTGTTTATTTTCTCCAACTCAGGCCATGCAAAAATGATTGTTTGTTTCCCAATCCTGCCAGGTCTGTTTTTACCCTCCAGGTCAATACATTTTTTAAATATTTTTTTTTGGCAGATGAAAATAAAAGTTTTGCTTTGGTTTCTATTTACAATTTTCAATGATGCTTTTTAAAACTGTCTGATAATCTCTTTAAGTGTTTTAATATTTGCTAATTTCAAATGATGTGAGATTGTTTGTGGTATTTTCATGGCCTTTTTCAATCATAAAGTAGACGTAAATGATTCTAAAACCTAAAATGCTTCACGAGTGTTAAAATATGACAAAATTATAAAAAGTAACATAACTCCGGCAAAAAATAGTTTGCACTTCCCAAGATATTGCTTATAGAAGTCTTTAACATGAATTTCATAAAAATTCAACAAGAAAATGCAGGGTTCAACACTTATGCTAGTCCTGTCGCCCCAGGCTAGTTAAATACATGAAGGACTACTATAAGTAGTAAACATTGTCTACCTAAGTAGCAGTCTTTGAATTTAGCCACAAGTCCGATGCCAATGGCTTGCAAATTTTATTGGGGACTTGTAAATATTCTGTAGTGACTAGTCGGACTGGCTTGTGAAAAATTTGGACCTGGTGGGCTTGTATATATTGTCAAATCAAGTCGGACATGTATTTATATTTTGTCACTGTTCGCTTTCCTTAAAATCCAGTCATTTTTAACAGACCGGGGCTTAACCTGGTATCCTGGTGAACTGCTCCTTTAATTTCCTTATAACGAGGCTGCTTAAACCTATTGCTTTCGATATTGAAGATAAATATATTTTGTATCTGCTTCTATGAATGGTCAATATCTAAATGTTGACCACCATGGCATGATGGCGTTGTCTTTGAAGTATGTGAAAGGTGCCCAACTGGGAAAGCCAATTAAAAGACTGGCATCAACTGAAAAGACATATTTCAAAACGCAAACTACGATCAAGAGGTTAGAGAACGTAAATTTCTCGATGTTTGGACCAAGGACAGACTGTGGTTATATTTTGACGAAACAAACAAGGCCAATCTATTACTCAAGTTACTGATGAAATCACAAGTCAGCACGATGATGACTTATCTACTGATCAGGAAATAGCTGACTTAGTACTAGAACCAGAAACTCAATAAGAACCTACAGTAGTAAATATTTTCCAGTTGCTCATTTGTCAGTGTACATGTATTATCATTTAAATCACGTTTCATGTAAAATCATGAATGCACCAATTACCTGTATAAGAACTACATGTATATCAAAATAATTTTATTTCATAAAATATAAATATACATGTCCTACCATTCATAAATAAAAATAAATGGGGAATGTGTCCATGGGACACAGATGATGCACCCACTTGCATATTACGTTATAAAGGGACATAACTCCAGAACGGTAAAAAAGACGCTACCCAAACAAGTGAAACTGCGAGCTACTGCTCACTGATGATACCCCGGCCCAAATACATGTATTTCGGTAAACAGGAAAGTTGTTGATGAATCTGAAAACGTACACATGGTATAGCTGACTTATATAAACCCTGAAACCAAATTTCAGAAATCCTTGTATTGTAGTTCCTGAGAAAGATGCGACGAAAATATTCATGGGGCGGACAGACGAACAGACAGAGGTAAAACAGTATACCCCCTCTTTTTTAAAGCGGGGGTATATTTAGTACTAGATCTGACTTTTGTGGTAATAAGCATTGGGTTGAGGCAAACTAAGTTAGATAAATTGCTTTGCCGAGCGCAGCTGGATACGACCGCAGAGGTCCAATTCTGAACAGTTGGGCAAAAATGGACACAATATTCGCGCTTAATACAGGTCTGAATTTGGATTGTAATTAAATATTCGACACATAATAACTGAAGTCAAAGAACTTAGAATTGGTTATATGATTTGAATTTATATTCAATTTTTTGCTTTTGTGCAATACATATGCTGTTGCGAATTATACCCCCCCCCCCCCCCCCAAAAAAAATGTTTACCCCCTTTTTTTTGCTTTTGTGCAATACACTATGCTGTTGCGAATTAACCCCCCCACCGCAAAAAAAAAATATTTGAAGAAATTTTCTTTTTAATTTCTGAAATCTGAAATGAGAAAAAAAAATGTCCCCCCCCCCCCCCCCCCCCACAATTTTTTTTTTTCACCCCCTTTTTCCAAAAAAAAAAAAAATTTCCCTCAAGATATGGTCATTATCTCAATTCAAATTTCCAATGGAGTTTGCAACCATAATTACCCATTTAAATACATCATAAAAGTCTTAAAATAGAAAATGACATACATAATCATGTCTAAAATTAATATTCCTTAATCAACATTTTTAATAGTAACTTCTAAAAACAAATTGACAGCTAATTACCTCAAGACAATACATTTCTTTATACATAATTTAAAAGCAGTGTAAGGGAGGTAATCCAAACACAAAACATTGTACTTAAAAAGTTATTGTCCATTAACAAGGAAACCCTTGTTTTTCCCCTACTTCCTAAATAGTTTGAGCCATTACCCTCTAAAGAAAATCCTAACCATCCCTTTGTGGTATGGAAACTTGTGGTATAATTTCAGAGAGATCCATACACCGTTCCACAAGTTATTGTCTGGAAACTAGAAAAATGCTTATTTGGGCCCCTTTTTGGCCCCTAATTCATAAACTGTTAGGACCAGTGATTTTGCTAGCGCTCGTCATTTTCGTCATTTGCGAAACGGTTTTCAAAATGACGAAAGTATTCCAAATCAATTTCGTCACTTAAATTTGGAAAGAGTAAAAATATTTCGCATGAAAATACTATAATTCTACCTATCTTATTGTTTCTGACAAGTTTATGACCCTCAGCTAATTAACATTTACAACAGGTGTTATAAGTTGTGATTACAGATAATCCGCTTATCGCCATCGGATGGGTCAGTAATCCGTTAATTATTTATCAACATCATAATTGATCATCATAATTATTTTCCCCAGTAAAATCAGTCAGTCGGCATTTCAATTTCAATATTTCTCAAACGAGCCCAATTTGCAGTTCGTTGTAGTTTCGTCATTTGAGTTTTCCCTCGGACAGTGCGCATTTTAATTTCAATATTTCTCAAACGATCACAATTTGCAGTTCGCTAATCGTAGTTTCGTCAAATGAACGTATTTTCGTCATATTTGATATAACTTTTAATAAAAAACTTTCGACAATTTCGATTAAAAAGATGTTCTGTTTTCACGAGCCAAACAGGTGCTTCCTTTACGATGAAGTGCCACATCAGTCAAATCATGCAGTAACTGCCTAGTATGCCTAAGTCCTTCAAAGTCTGACAAAGATGTTTAGATAGTAATATACATCCTAGGTCCCTTGCTGCTACCCAAAATAAGGTTGATTTTCATCCCGCGCAAAAGTGACTAAAGCCCTCAAAATCCTAGCTTAAACCCTGGTTAGGACTATAACCCCCAAAATCAATCCCAACCCTCCTTTTGTTGTTATAAACCTTGTGTTTAAATTTCATAGATTTCTATTTACTTATACTAACAGTCAGGCAAGGTTGGGCAGAATTTACCACCCCCGGTATTTACCAGTGGTATTTACCGGTATTTACCGCCCCGGACAATACTCCCCAAATGGTCAATACTGGCAAATACTGGTCAATAGAAATTTTCATGCTTCTTTTGGCTGACTTATCTATCAATTCTAGTAAAAAATTGGTTGATGAGGGAAAACTTTATTCCTTTTGCATGATTCAATTTATAAAAATGAATGATATTGGTATGTTATTAATTATTAAAACATTAAAAATGACTAATTTAGTTCTTAGGGGTAATGATATTGCATACTTTTGGTATACATATAAAATTGAGCAGCTACATGTATATCAGTTATTCTAACATGTATAAATCAAGATATTTTTTTCTTGAAAAGGTTTAAATTTTACAGGTAAATAGAATTACAAGTGACTAGCAATATAGATTATCAGAACATTACCTATTATATGGCTAACAGGTGTCAAAAGTTTAATTACTATAACAACTGTCCCCTAATAAATGTTGACATAACAGGAAAAAAGTCATAAAAGTGATTTCTAAAGATTGTTTTAAACAATGAATTAATTCCTGACTATTCAACAGCATGATAAAAATGTTCTAAATGCAGGAAATGTTTTTTTTAATAAATATATAACATATATATACAAATGTATATAAAACAAATTTTTTAAATTTTTTAATTGCATCTTTCAAAATAAGTGTAAAGAAAATCAGATGTTATATAGTCTCTCTTAAGTGACTGACTTCATGGTGTTATAAATGACTATATCTGTTGTATGATTAAATTAATATTTGATTAATCTTCATTAAACCATGTTCATGAACTAATTAATTGTGACTTTTTGTCTTATTACAATGTAGTAAATAAGTGACTTTCTGCCTTGTGACTATATCTATCCATTTACCAAGTAATTGACCTGAGGTAGGGACTAGTTTTATAGTAAAGTCCTATCAAAATTTCAATTGACCAGTATTTGCCATTATTTCCCTGTATTTACCGCCGGCATGGTCAATACTAGTATTGACCGCTTTTTTGCCAACCTTGCAGTCAGGGGTACTACTTGTACAAGTAATCTTTACTTACTTGAAGAAGTAAAAAAAATATACTTACATGTACATGTATATAAGTTAATTATAATGTTTGAATAATCTCCCCTTAATTTTCTCAAAAATTCACTTGTATAAGTATTTTTTTTTTACAATCCCACAAAAGTTCTCAAGTTTTGAGATGTAAAAACATGCATTTTATGATTTTTCCCAGGTTAGCTCATAATTTTTTATTAGAGGTCAACTAGAGAACGGAAACTAAAAATTTTGCATTTTTTTCCCTTTATAAAGGGGCTTAACTCGAGAATTGGTTACAAAAATTCAAACTTGATCTTTATTTTGTGGTAATAAGCATTGTGTATGTTTCATAAAATTTAATTTCTCACATACTAAAATTCAGCTCAATATGTGAAGGCATTTGAAAAAAAAAGTCTGTATAACTGTTATTTTCAGGAAAATTTTCAAAAGTCCAAAGCCTATTGTTTCAGAACAAAATCAGCATAGCAGGACGAAACATAAAACACGATCTATTACTCATCATAAAAGACTCACTAAAAATCAGCTCAATATGTAAAAGCGTTTAGTAAAGATCTGTATAACTGTTGCTGTGGAATGAAGGAATAACAGATTAGGGTAAAACTATATGGCCCCGACTACTGAATGACGGGTAAAATTATATGGCATCGGCCATTTTTAGCATGGCTATAAAAAAAAGGCCTTCCAACCCCCATATTGTTTTTTCTTGGTATTAGGACGCTGTGCAGTATCTAAATAATATATCTATCTCTCTGCTGTGAAGCTGCAGGACCGTAGCTCTTAGATCCTTATATTTTTTGACAATTTGTGGACCAAAGAGCTGCGGATATGTTAAAATTGTCATAACCATAATCCTGCCCTCTTTACCCCAGAATGTGACCTACAGGATTAGACGTATCTCGGGTTTGTACTTAAATGAGCAACACGTTCTTGTGCCACGTGTGGAGCCAAATCTGCTTACCTTTCCGGGCACCTGCGATCACCCCCCGTTTTTTATGTGGTGTATTGTTGCTCAGTTTTCTATATTGTGTTTTGTATACTGTTGTTTGTCTTTTGGTCTTTTCATCTTTTTGCCATGATGTTCAGCTTATTTTCGAATTATGAGTTTGAATGTCCCTTTGGTATCTTTTGCCTCACTTTTCCAAGATGAGGGGCATGTATAAGCCTCACTGTGACTTCGAGATGAAGAACAGCAATTTAACTGTTCCTTTGTTTTTTGTGTTTTTTGCTGTGTATATACTAATTTTGTGTACTCAAAAGTTAAACCTGCTTGAACACCTTAGCCATAGATTGTGCTTTTCACTGCATGTTGGCTGAAATAACATTATAACACTTTGCCTAGTAGCAAGAGGGCAGCCACCCCTCTGCAAAATATTCTCCATAAAGTTCAAAACCGCAATTAGAACATTTTTTTAATTCGTAACCCAAGCCACTTATTGGAGATGGTCCTTAGACCTAGGAGTTAGTATGGAACTACTAAAACTTAAACGAGTACTTCACCCCTAAACCCTTTTTTGAATGTCTGGAGACGTTAAAGAATTGTTTAGTATCGTGTGAGAGATACTCGAGTCTCACTGAAAACACACTCATTTTGCCCTGCACAACATATTAAAATTTCCCGATAAAGTTGCTCTTTAGGAATGACCACATGGTGTCCATTGTTCTATTTTTCCTCTTAGGGAACATTGTATTCACAAGTACAATTACTGTACGTGTCCACAATATTTTTATACAAAAGTATTGCAAAGTTATTACTGATGTCTTATATACTTCACACACATGTACATCACTGTTATAGCTTTTTCAATGTGACGGTCATGTCGTTCCCAAAAATGTCGCATGCAACCCAATGTCACCTGTTGGAAAAAATGCAACATATCGGTAAAATTACAGATGCAATTAGACGGGAATCGTTGTATATTTGGAAGGTCTTGATAACTAACCTTGTTTTGATTGATAACATTTGCCTAAACTTACTTTTATTTAACTTATTTACTTTCCCGCGAACTTCTTCTGTGGTGATAATGGCGGCCTTGACATGTGCACTTCAATCCCACAATGCAAATTTGTTGTTGTTACCTGGTGAGGACCTTGGAGCGGGAAAAACAAATTATAAATTTTCCAATAGCTAAAAATTAGACATGATTGACAAAACTATTTGATTTTTGCTTAGTTAAAAAAGAATTCATATCTAAATATTCTCACTAAGAAAATCTGATAATAAAAGAGGGGGCAACATCTTTTCTGTTAAGGTGTTTCAGTAGGCATTTTTATGCCCCACCTACGGGCATTATGTTTTTCGGTCTGTGCGTACGTTCGTCCGTCCGTCCGTCTGCCCCGCTTCAGGTTAACGTATTTGGTCAAGGTAGTTTTTGATGAAGTTAAGTCCAATCAACTAGAAACTTAATACACATGTTCCCTATGATATGATCTTTCTAATTTTGAGCCAAATTAGAGTTTTGACCCCAATTTCACGGTCCACTGATCATAGTAAATGATAGTGCGAGTGGGGCATCCGTGTTCTATGGACACATTCTTGTTAAAAAAATTTTAACAGTTATCTTATTTTGAAAATATATGTACTGTTTACTATGTTCTCTTATATCCTTGAGGCATCGTCCCCTGGTATCAACTGCATTCAAGTTACCTATGATGCTTCCTTGTTTGCTTTTGATACAGGTAGGAAAGAGACATTTACACACATGCCTATGGCCCATAAGGTATCGCCCCTGGTGTCAGCTGCCTTTAGGAAACCATAATACTTTCCTACTGATTTGCTGCTGACACAGGATGAGTCATGGACATGCTTTAAAAATTTCTACTTTCTTTTTGGCTAAATATTATATGTTTAATTGATCCAACTTATTGTGTACTATACATGTATGGATATCTATTTTTTTTTCCTTTTTGGGCTGCTTGTTTGTTATCTATATCAACCACACTTGCATTAAATGCATTAGTATTAAAAAAAAACATACTATAGATTCTTTATCTACGTATTCTTTAAGAACTTAAATAGTTCTCATTAATCTTTTTTTTTATCTCATTGTTTGTATTGTATTATAAAAAAATTATTGATGTTGTAATGTTTATACCCTTTGGGGCCCATAATTGGAAAATAAAAAAATAACTTATTATAAAAAAAATAAATATCTTATATCTTATATCTTATTATCAAATATACAATTCCTTGCTATTATTGACTAATTAGCTGTTTTCTTAAAATGGATTTTTGTTGTTAACTGTTATTGTGAAAAAATGACCCCTGTTAACTGTTTTTTTTTAATTTTTTTTAATTCGCTGTTTTATGTTTTCTCATAAAAGATAATTTAAAATTTCTGTATCAGTATTTTAAATTTAACATTGTCTGTTTTGAACAAAATTATAAAGTGTTAACCTGTTAATGGACCCCCTCTTGCCCCCTTTTAAAACCTCATTCCACAACACGAACCGTCAGTGTTGTACAAGATTACTATTTTGTTTTTATACTAACTTGTACTTTTATACTTTGATTTCATCTAATGAGGGGTGGACATAAGGGTCCCTGTTACCCACTTCTCTTCCCCTCTACTCCCAATCCCCTCTCCCTTACTCCCAGATGAAAATTGGGCAAAAAAAATTTCGCAGAATATCCCTGTTTTTATTCCCCTTCTTCCCCACCTCCCTCCCCCTGATTACCGCTTTCCACCCCTAATTCCCATGTTCCCTTTAATACATCTGCCCACCCTTCTCTAATGCTACAAAAAATTCTCTTCAAGTGTTTTCTTCAGTTTAGTCGTAGTTCTTATTAATGTCTGAGACTATAATAACACTGTGAGTCTGAGACTACCATAACACTGTGTTATAGTAGTCTCAGTTAATGTTTATATATCTTGTTTTTGATGTATTTAGAATTCGTTATCTTGATATTTTTTGCGGAAAAAAGTTCTTTCACTTTTGTACACAAACTGTATGCATATCCTGCATTTTATTCGGTAAAATCATAAAAATAATAAGACATGTGGTATGATTGCCTATGAGACAACTCTCCACCAGAAACCATGACATAGAAGTAAACAACTATAAATGTTCATTCTGCTTTGGGCAAGTTTATTGATTTTCAGTAACTTCTTACCAGGCCAGATTATTTATATTTAAAATGCTGAGTCCTTCATGCCCACTCAGAATATCAAAAGGTCGTCCCCAAATTTATATTTCTAGAGCTGGTCAATGGTCATAAAACTAACATTTTTCTATTGATTAACATTTGAGGCCTGACTTATCTCTATCAGTCAGGCCAAATCACATTACCAGTGCGCAGTGAGATATCGATATGTGATTCAAGAATAAAAAAGAAGTGACAGACAATCCGCGGAAAAGAAATGTCTATAAATGTTTTTGTGTTTGTATTGTGTTCCTTTAAAATTGGTTAAAAATCATATATTCTAAAAAAAAAAAAAAAAATCCCAGTATACTTGTTATCCCGATATATATATAACATCATTAGACCGGACACAGGTAGGCCAATTATCGGGGGACCATCTATTATGTAATGAGTGGTGAATGGATGAGCTGCAGGAATATAGGTGACATAGGTTACTAGTCGGAGCTTGATTACTATTATATACTTGTATGATACGGTCAAGAGATGAAATATGTATGATACGGTCAAGAGATGAAATATGTATGATACGGTCAAGAGATGAAATATGTATGATAAACTAGAGGTTGCTGATTTTTAATCATAAGTATGTGAAACTTATCAGATTTTGCGATTTTTAACAGATGTTGCTAAAATAAAAGTCGTACATGCATCAGATAGTTGTCAAGTATATTTATCTCTTCATGAAATAGCGTAATCATATAAGCTACTTGTGTATTTTGTGTCGGAAAATACATGATGATGATAGGATATAGATTTTTGTTATTCAAAATACACGAAAGGGATTGGGTACTGGATGTCTGTCCGCTCATTACTACTACAAAAAAGTTGGATTAAAGTTTCCAGATGCCTCGGATCCAGGATCTTGATAAGGGAGCAAAAAGGCAAGACTTACAAAAAGTATGGACATTATTGTTTCAGGTATGGTGAAGGTTGGCGCCTATTAAAACGTTTAAACCCGCTGCATTTGTTTGCACCTGTCCTAAGTCAGGAACCTGATGTTCAGTGGTTGTCGTTTGTTGATGTGGTTCATAAGTGTTTCTCGTTTCTCGTTTTTTATATAGATTAGACCGTTGGCTTTTCTGTTTGAATTGTTTTACACTAGTCATTTTGGGGCCCTTTACAGATTGCTGTTTGGTGTGAGCCAAGGCTCCATCGTTGAAGGCCGTACTTTGGCCTATAATGGTTTACTTTTACAAACTATGACTTGGATGGAGAATTTTCTCATTGGCACTCATACCACATCTTCTTATATCTATGGATGGAGAGTTGTCGCATTGGCACTCATACCACATCTTCTTATATCTATTAGATATTAGAAATATATCATAAACATCATAATACAATAATTATTATAAAACATCACAATACAATCATTATTATAAAACATCATAATACAATCATTATTATAAAACATCATAATACAATCATTATTATAAAACATCACAATACAATCATTATTATAAAACATCATAATACAATCATTATTATAAAACATCATAATACAATCATTATTATATATAAAACATCATAATACAATCATTATTATAAAACATCATAATACAATGATTATTATAAAACATGCGAGTTTTAGTGAAACTACACAATACACAAAGAAATAAAGTAAAATATGACTATTACAGTCTAAAGTGTTTAGTGTAATGAGGTCGATTTTATAAAAATAGATATGAAATATACTAAAAGGAAATAATTGAGCAAGAAATATAGTTTCATATTTTGTAGTAGTTCTCCTCATGACCAGCGCACAGCTGAGGTCATCAAGGGGCGGTCATTCAGAACCAGCTACAAATATTATATTAAGATTATCCCAATAGTGGTTCTCCTCATGACTAATGCACAGCAGTAATGGGTTGTCATTGCTACTGTGCAAAACTCATTAATAGATGGTGCTCTAGAACTCACTGTAGTATATGCATTAATCATATATGTAGCTCCATAAGGGGCCCCCTAAATCCACCTCTGTCCCCATCCCACCGAGGATTTTTTTCCCCATTTACATATGTTTCAATTATAGGGTCAACATCTGAAAGTTGTAAAAATCACGAGGAGGGGTCTCAACGTGGAAATTTGGGTACAGACTTGCAGCTTGGATATAAAAAACATCTCCATTCATATATTGAAGTCTTGTACTGAAATAACAACCTATAAATATATTTCAAGTCAAAATCATAACCCATTCATATATTTCCCACCAGGTATCACATTTACATTCTGTGACATCTTGATTTGATTTAAAAGGATAAAACATTATATTTATGAACTTTTTGCCATATACATTTTTATACTAAAATTTTACCGAAACCTATCAAAATTGAAATGTTCAGCCATCTTTTAGCATTTATAATTTGAGAAGTACATTCTTATTCAAAACCAAAATCCTATCGGTATATAGTTATAAGCATTGTCTTCAGACACAAGTTATTTCATTTCAGTTAAAAATGGCGAAAAAAATCGAAAATACCCCAAAATGATGTCCAAACTTTTGTGGCATATTTTATTAATATATCAAATATACTCTTTTGAAATTATATGATACCGTCAATTTTAGAAAATGGCGACATTGGCCCTGGTGGGAAATAATTTCTGGGAAATTGTTCAAAACTCTTTTATCTGACAACTGTATCAATTTTTATAGAAAACTCTTAAAAGTATTGTTCTGAAGGAATGACAATTGAATTGAATCACAGGTTAACACGAAACAATTAACAAACCACAATAAAAAGATACAATTTTAGTGTACCTACAAAAAGAAGAAACAAACCACAATAACAAGATACAATTTTAGTGTACGTACAAATAAGAAGCAAAAATCTACAATAAAAACATACAATTTTAGTGTACATTCGAAAAGAAACAATAAACCACAGTAAAAACATACAACTTTTAT